CGAAGGAAGCTTGGCTCAAGCGGAGAAAAGAAGCTCCTAGAATCTCTGAAATTGCGCAGTTCGCTCGAGCGAAGAAAAGCTTGCTCGAGCGAGCATGCTTCCAGCACAGAAACTCAAAATTGAAACATGCATAATTCTCTCGTTCAGACTCCGTTTTAGGTGATTCTTGTGTTCAAATCCAAGCCCCAGAAACAAGCTTTCTAATGGTTCTAGCCTCAAATCCAAATTCAAAGTATGAAAAGAGAAAAGGGCAAAAGAGTGACGACTGGTCAAAAATAAAAACTCAACTTTGGGGCTTTTGATCTAATCTTGTCTAAATACCTCGTTAAGGCTTCAATCAAGGTTCCAAACATTGCCCAAGGATTCTCAATTATAACATTTAAGGTTCACTTGCCAACCCATTAATGTCAAGAGTCTGATCTAATCTTGTCTAAATACCTCCTAGTAACAAATTTTTAGATGCATTCTCGATACGTATTAGAATTCGAGCCATTATAGTTAGGACTTATGAATGTATTACTGCATGTGTTACACTTTTGTAAAGAGGTGAAGCCTTATAAATGGGAGAACATTATATTCAGACATTTGTTATTATTTAATATCTGTCGTGGGGTGATCTTATTGTAATTATTTCGGGGCGTTACAATATATGTATATATATATATTTAATTTAATAGTTATATGTGCTAAAAGATAATTTAATTAGGGGGTCATTGTGTCCTATTAAAAGGATAGTATATAATTATTTTAAGAATTAGGCCAAAGTGAAATTAAGCCTAAAGCTAAGCAAATAAGTACAGTTTGAGATAAGAATTAAAACCTAATGGATAAAGATTTGGCCTAATGGATAAAGATTTGGAAATATGTCCAGCTATTATGGAGCAATGTGTCTTAATCTGGGCATCCTCATGGCTTGTCTCAGTATAAATAGGGAACATGTGCCGGTAAGTTGAAAGCAACGAAAAAAAAGAGAAAAAGAAACAAATAAGATACGAGAAAGGGAGTTAGCAATTAAGGGAGGTCGGGTGCGGTAAACGGAAGTAAAAATTGGGAATCAATATGAAGGCGAGTAATATTATACTTTAAGTCGCCATAAAATATTTTATGTTGTGTTATCACAAATTTATTTTATGAAATTCATGTTTTCTAAATTATATTAATGTTTCAATTATGCTAACTATTTTATGAACCCTATTTGCTTAAATTAAAACCCATGGATATGATTGTTTTAATTTTAGAAATTATTGGACAATGAGTATATAAATACTTATTTTTGTGAGAACCACTACAAGAGTCCCATGCCTTGGGGGACTTAAATAACCATTAGCCTCTAATTGGTCACTTTGTGACCTTCTATCGGTTATGAATCCATTCACCCCTGCTCTGATTTTTACTTCAGTAACCTCTGTTATGATTGTCATTCTGTACCATGGTTATGATTATTTTATTTATATTTTGAAATTCATTTATGCTATTTAAACTATTGATTAACTTCAATTAAATAATGTACAGTGTTTTAGCCTAAATAATATCCATGATGATTTTATGCCCTATACTCTTGATATAATATTTCTTACTCTGCTATGTGCTTATAGCTATTATCCACTTTTCAGGTGATGAAATATAAGGAAAAGTGGTAACCTCGTGTAATGGGACTAGCACAGGACTTAATAGGAACATTTTGTATTTTTGTTTTATTTGTAATAATTGTTTGATCATCAATAAAATAAATAAAAGTCTCGAGGAATGTTATTTTTTACGATTAAAACTGATCGATTATTTTTTTTTTACCTATTTAATTTATTTACTACACTATCTCGTCTGTGCCTGTGTCATTTAATTTGTTAAAATTAGAATTAATTAGTTAGTTGCGAATCTAGTCCTAAGCACCTAGAGTCGGGTCGTGACATATGGTACCACACATATATGTTTTTTCTGGAATGTTATCACTTGATTAGTTTTGGCTTAGATGTTTATCCATGGTGATTTTATATCCTTAGTATAGTACTTCTCACTCTACAATGTACTTATAGTTGATTTACCAATTTTTAGGAGATAATGCAATTTAGAAATAGTTTTTGGAGAGTCCTAGAAGCGGGGCTGTGAAATAGACACACAAAGCACGTTTGTAATATTTATAAATCTATTTGTACAAGGTTAGCTATTTATTTTATAAATATTGGTCTATTTATTTAATGGCCTTTAGAAGCTCCGATGATTATTTTCGTACCCCTCACTTAAATATTATTTCCGTTCACGTTTGTTAATTTGTTTAGGTTTAGAATTGGCCTTGGGGTAACTATGATTATTGGCCATCAAGATGATTAACCTTTGGATATGGAGAGCGGGTTGAAACAAGTTGTTTCTTATTTTTAAAAAAAGTGAACACACCAATTTGTTTTATTGAAAAGTTCTAAAAAATTGCAAATCAGTTTTACTTCTTTTTTAAAAAAAAAACAAAAAACTAAAACATTGAACCAAACACATTTTTGTTTTCAGTTTACATAAAAAATGAAAACAAAAATAGAAAATTGAAAGCAAAAACGTTACCAAAAGAGGCCTAAATGATCAAACAACTCTCATATTTCTTCTTCATCGTCTTCCCTTTGCAAGTACCCTCGTCCATTAGGAATTTTGTGTCATTTTGTCCTACTTTTCCCACGACAACCATTGCCACAGCTAGGGATCATTACTGGGACGGGCTAGTGATAAATGCTTGAATGTTTACATTTACTACTCGTTTGATAACTCACTATTTTAGATTAAAAGTAAAAAAGGCATTAAAAAAATTAAAAAGTCAATAACTTACACTAAAAAGTTAAAGATTCAATTTTCATTTTGCTTTTTGTACATCTTTTCTTAAAAAATAAAAAATCATTTCAAACATACTAATTTTTTTTAGAGTTAATTACCTAAAAGTTCTATTTACAAATGTTATAGTAGGTCAAGTCCTATTTAAGATTTTTTTTTAAACCAATAAGTCCTATTTAGTAAAACTGAGAATATTATCAGTTTTTCTCAATTTTTAAAAATAAGAACATTATCAATTTTGTATAGTAATGTTCTAAATATTTGTTTCACAAACTGATGGAAAAAAAAAAAAACAGAGTATGAGATTAAATGGTTTTGCCCTTCTACTTATTAGTTTAATTCATCTATCTAATAAAACTGAGAAGATTATCAGTTTTTCCAGTTTTAAAACTAAGAAAATATTAGTTTTTCCATTTTTCAAGTTTTGTTTTGTTTTTGTTTTTTCAATTTTGCAAATCAATGTTCTATCATCATGTTCCTTTATAGACATAAAATTTTTAGTTTTGCACAAAAAATTAATTCAATTTTTTTTAATTTTTTCAATTTTTTTTTTTGCGCATAATTATTTTTTTTAGTTTTTTTTTTCAATTTGAAAGTTAATGTTTTAAAATTTTAAAAATCAAAATAAATGTCAAATCATCATGTTCCTTTATATATAATCATAAATGATAAACAATCATTGTTTGAAGGGCAATTTCGACTATTAAAAATTTAATAGGACTTGCAAATCTAAAAAATCTTAGTTAAGATTTAATGGAATATAAGTTCATAAATTAGGATTTGTTTGTAAATGCCCCTAAATTTTATATAGAATTTTCAAACACAATAATATGTGAAATTCTATTTCCACACACTTAATTATCTCAGTACACACACTTAATGAAATATTATTTTAATGAAAATTATACCCTAAACTAAAATGATCATAATGGACTTCCACTAGCACCCATAATATTATATGAAAATATTCTTTGTATACATCTTTTAAAAATAAAAAAATCTCGATGTACACATTTTGAGTATAAAAAAAAAAACTAAACTCTAGTTTTTCAATTATTGCCACTTTACTTGCTATACACTCTATACTCCTCTATTACTTGCAATACAATACTCTCATAACAACTCTTATATTACTTTAATTTCTAGATTTGTACTCTATTAGTGACTAAAAGGTTAGTTTTTTCATGTAGATTTTTTTTCTCTTTCCTTTTGCGGTTTTCAATCGAATAACCAGTGCCGAATTATTTCATTATATTCGGATATCAACTACTGAATTATTTCATTATATTCGGACATCAACTGTCAAAAGTTTTTTTAATTTTTTCATAACAAATTTGTCAAACTAATCACTTTTATTCAACAATTAAGTTTCGAATTAAATGTATAATTTTGAAAAACCGGTGACGAAATCTCCAAACCAAAAAAACATAAAAAATAAAAATAAAAATGTGGGTTTTATGGCAATGGAGTGCACAGAGATTTGAAAATGGTAAATGCAATAATAAAATGGTAAGTACAATAACAAAATGGAAAGATGCCTCATTTTCAACAATATTTTGAAGGGTTTTCAATGGTATTTTTAATGAAGGTTCAATAGGGCCTTCAATGGAGGTCTTCAATAGATGATTTTGTCTTTACTTCACTTCACACTATGGTTTTGAATGGTATTCACGTAAGTCTACAATGGGTTTACAAATTTGGAAGTAAGGTCACTCAACAAGTGTGTAAAAATGAGGATTGAGTGATGTATGTACAATAATTATGAGTGAATGGTATAATTGTAACTTTCAGTGTGTAAATTGAGAAAATTAATTAATAATTAAATTAATAAGTGTGTGTACCGAGAGAAGATGTGCATCGAGATAATTAAGTATGTGGAAATAGAATTTCACCAATGATATAGTTTAATGGTGACCTTTTACTTTAAAACAAAACACTCATAAATATGATTTATATTTATAATAATATTACTATCACAAAATTTTTATGATATTTTTTGTATAAATTTTTATATATGAATATAATTTTTCATTTTTATTTATACCATTATATATAGATTAGATCAATTTAATCTAGATATATATATATATATAAATTAAGAAACAAATATCATTTTAATCTTAAAAAAAAATAAATATAATTTTTTAAATATGAAAAAATCTGTACTAAATAAAAAGATCAGTGTCAGCGTAATTTACCCTAATAATAATTGGTCTCCGTCCGTTAAAAAACACCCTTCCCGAGCTTCCCTGTTATCCCTCCACCCTCCATTTTTGTACATTTCTCCTGCTTCTTCTCTCTGAATTCTGCAAGATAGCAAGCAAGCAAGGAAACCCATTGTTACCAGACCATGAAAACTCTCAAATCCATTGATCTCAGGACACTCAAGCCCCACAAGCTCACAACTGCCTTCTCCACAAACCAAGGTCAGTCCTCTTCTTCACTTTCTCTCTCTAAACCATCCCAACACACCCTCACTCCACCTTCAACCCTTGAACCCCCCAATACCCCACCCATAACCCCACACTCCTTACAAGAATCAATCTTGTCTTCTCAGTGGCATTTCATCAAACACGTTTCACCCAATCTCACCCCCACCTTAGTCTCAACAGTCCTTCATAATCTCCGTGCAAACCCAGACCTCATTCTCAAATTCATCGACCAAATCGAACCTCACCGCCTCAACATTCAATACCATTGCATCGCCATTGCCATAATCTCTCGCCTTCCATCGCCCAAACAAGCTCTGCAACTAATAAAGAACGTATTTAACTTCCGGGTTTCCACGAATAGGGAGATTTTCGATGAGTTAGTGGGTGCCCGAGAGCGATTAGATATATCGAGCTCAATTGTGTTTGATTTGTTAATTAGGGCGTTTTGTGAATTGAAGAGAGCTGATGAGGCGTTAAAGTGCTTTTATATGATGAAAGATAAGGGTATATTGCCCAAGATTGAAACTTGTAATGATATGTTGAGTTTGTTTCTGAAATTGAACCGGACAGAGACAGCGTGGGTTTTGTATGCCGAGATGTTTAGGTTGAAGATTAATTCAACTGTGTACACTTTTAATATAATGATCAATGTATTGTGTAAAGAAGGGAAATTAAAGAAGGCTAAAGAATTTATTGGGTACATGGAGGGTTTAGGGTTTAAACCAAATGTTGTTACTTACAATACCATCATTCATGGGTATTGTTGGAGGGGGAACCTTGAAGGGGCTCGTCGGCTTTTTGAGGTAATGAAAGCTAAAGGGATCATGCCAGATTCGTATACATTTGGTTCACTTATTAGTGGTATGTGTAAGGACGGAAGGGTTGAGGAGGCATCTGTGTTTCTTGAGAAAATGGAGGAAAATGGATTGTTTCCAACTGCTGTGACATATAATGCTTTGATTGATGGATATTGCAACAAAGGGAACTTGGAAAGGGCTTTTAGTTATAGGGATGAGATGGCAAAGAAAGCCATAATGCCAACTGTGTCCACGTATAATTTGTTTATTCATGCACTATTTATGGAAGGTAGGGTCGTTGAAGCCGATGATATGATAAACGAAATGGAAGGAAAAGGAATGGCTCCGGATGCCATCACGTATAACATATTGATCAATGGGTATTGTAGGTCTGGCAATGCAAAGAAAGCTTTCAACCTGCATGATGAGATGCTTAGTAGAGGGATTCAGCCTACACGGGTTACTTACACATCTCTTATATACGTTTTGAGCAAGCAGAATAGAATGAAGGAAGCAGATAACTTATTTATGAAGATAATGGACAAAGGTGTTTTGCCAGATGTTATAATGTTCAACGCACTGATTGATGGGCACTGTGCCAATGACAATGTGGACCGTGCACTTTGCCTTTTGAAGGAGATGGATAGGATGAAGGTTCCTCCCGATGAAGTGACATACAACACTTTAATGCAGGGTCATTGCAGAAAGGGTAAAGTTGAAGAAGCTCGTGAGCTTCTTGATGAGATGAAGAGAAGGGGGATTAAACCAGATCACATCAGTTACAACACCCTCATTAGTGGGTACAGTAGGAGAGGTGATATAAAGGATGCCTTTAGAGTTCGAGATGAGATGTTAAGTATAGGATTCAATCCAACCCTTCTCACTTACAATGCACTAATACAAGGCTTATGCAAAAACCAGGAGGGAGATCATGCAGAAGAGCTCCTCAAAGAAATGGTTAGCAAAGGCATTACCCCTGATGACAGCACATATTTTACTTTAATTGAAGGGATAGGCAAAGTTGAGAAGTTTATGGAAAGTAATGGACTGTGATCAAGTTTGTTTGCCAATAATTCTACCTGTGGCAGAAAGAGATGTTCCTGAAGTGTTTTCGTCTGGAATATTTTTGTTTAGAAACTTTGAATACAAGCCAAAGGAAATCTTCTGCCCAGATCTCACACCATTGGAAAATTCTGAAAGTAGACATGGAAAACTAGAAAGAGTTTCATAAAAGCCTTACATCGGCTATGCACATGCTTCATTGTATGGTTCTACAAGCTTCTTTTCATTTTTATGCTTTGTAGGAGTGTATATGTCTACTCTGTATTTTAAAGATGTTTGAATTTTGAAAATTTTATAGAGCATACTCATGCCTAAGGGCTAAGAGTGAATATCTGGAGAAAAAACAATGCTGAAAGGTTTTTATAAATTTTGCCTGTGGTAATTCTTGTCTGTTCATGCAACAGCTGCTGTGAGGTGATGCTATATATGTTTTGCAAGATAAGTACTAGTTCTTTGATAGATGATGCTTAAAGATTAAGTTGCCTTAAAAGAATTTCTATGTTGTTGGTAGCTTATTTTGGGCTAATGAGAGAAAATTAATTTTTTGTCATGGTGGAATGATTAGTTCAACTGATGAGGACACAGTTAACTAAGTTGCTGTAAAGATTTATTTGATGTGAAAATATTCTTAGCTTGCTAATGTGCTGGATGTTGTGCGAGTCAGATAAATTTTCTATGCTGCGTTGTCTTTCATGCAAGTTCCATTCCATTTTTCATACTATTTTATTTTGTTTACTTCTTGAAGAATAGGGAAACAACCTCTCCCCGTGCAGGAGTAAAACTGTGTGCATATGATCCTCCCCACACCCCCTAGTGGTTGGAGCCTCCTGCACTGGGCTGCTCTTTAGAGGTTGTGGCTTGACTCGAAGGCAAGTCATATCCACACCACAATACAGCTTTGAGTCACATCCACAAAAAATAGGGTTAGCTTGTTTACATACCACCTCTCCTAGTTCCAGCCCTCAACATGAGCTTTGTGCGCCGGGTACAATTTTTCTTAGCTGAAGAAGAGAGTTGGCAGATTAATTTGCAGAATGTGGGTTGTCAAAGGTGACAGATACCTTTATTGTTATATACTTCTTTTGAGTGTCTCATTTGTAGTTGAACAAAGGTACCGGGTAGAGTTTTTTTTTTTTTTTTACTATATTTTTTCTATTTTTTTAATTTATAATTTAAATACTTGCTCTTAACTGAAGTGCCCTTTTCTTTTCTTTCCTATTTTTTTCCCCCTTCCCTCGCTGCTGGCTTTTGCAGAAGATTGTGTAATTTTGTTCATCCATTTTTTGTTTTCTTAACTTTGCAAATGCAGAATTTGACTAATTCACAAAATCTATAACCTTTTAATGGCTTCTGTTTTATGTAATAGCACTTCGGAATTACTTTTCACATTTAAACATGCAGTTTAATGTCTGTCTTTGTCAGGATTTTGACATTTAATATTGGAGCTCTTGGTAGTTGGCTTCGTATATCTTCTTTGCAGGTTGCACATGAAGCCTTTGGTGTCACAGACAACAAACTATTTCTTACTGCCAGGTTTTGTGAACAAGTTTTTGGAGTTTGTCTCAAACAGAAATTACAATTTTTCATGATCCGTTTGTTTCGGCAGAAAATGTTTTTTGGAAAATATTTTCCACATTTTCTAGCATTTGATACAACATGAAAAATGAGTTGATTTAAGCCCAAAAAAAAAAAAAAAAAAAAAAAAACCATTTTTGACTTCTTAACGGCATAAAATGTTTTCAGAACTAGAGTGGTAATGCCATTTGGCCTATCACCACACAACCACCACCTCCATCACTGATGCCACCACCACCACCCTGTTACCACTACTGCCACCCCACCACCACAACCACACCAACACTACCACAAACCACTAGCACATCATTTTTGAGTTCGCAACCAACACAGGAAATTATTTTCTGTGGAAACAAAAAGAGCGAAAAACATCAGTACCATCAACTTTGCACCAATTTTTTTCCACGATGAATAAAATGAACCTTCCGTGTAACATAGTCAACAAATACCGAAGGATGTGTATGTAATTTGTCTACTTGGATGTTCAATTCTATCGCTTTTGTCTAAACAATTCACAAGGTGAAATCAATTAATGCTTGCAAGAAGTTAATAGCTTTAAAAGCGATATGCAAATAGGGCATTACACCGTACATTATAGATTGAATTTGCAAATATAAGTAAAGTGCTGTTCAAATTCTTTACATAAATACTCGTAAGCTGCTGTGATCTACCTAACTTGTTCCTTTTTAAGATGGTGCTTAGCAGTTGTATAGCGCGGAAGAGAGTCGTGGGGTGAGGAGGACCTCCACTGGAGTTGCTTTTGGAGCACTCAGCCCCGGACTTTCAGTCATATTAACCTCCAAGTCTGAGACCGTTCCCAATTCGAAGCCATGAAGTAGCCTAGCCAATGTTAAATGCAAGACCTGAAGTGCAAATGTGATCCCAGGGCATATCCTCCTGCCAGATCCAAATGGTACAAATTCAAAATGGAGACCCTTGACATCCAAATCTATCTGATCCACAAGAAACCTCTCGGGTTGAAAATCTAAGGGGTTAGACCAAATGTTTGGGTCACGGTGCAACTTCCAGAGGTTAACTAACAGGCGTGTGCCAGCGGGGATGTGGAAGCCAGCAACGGTGCAGTCTTCCATGGCTTCACGTGCCAATGACAATGGCAGGGCAGGGTATAGCCGCAATGTTTCCTTAACAATGGCTTGCAAGTATAAAAGATTTTTTATATCAGATTCATCCACTTGGCGGTTCTTGCCCACGTGGATGTCCAACTCATCTTGGGCTTTCTTTAGTACGTGACGGTTGTTCAGTAGTAAGGAGATCGCCCACGTCAAAGAGACTCCTGTCGTTTCATTGCCACCTAAAATCATACTCTGCAAACAAACATCAAATAAATTCTTGGTGATGATTTGGTTAGTATGCACATAATGTACTAGCAGTGTTCATGTAGTTATAAGAACTAGTACCAGCAGTTGTTATATTGATCATCCTCTTGTCACAACTTTTAATCAATGATGGACCTAGAGGGCGGCAAGATGGGGTGACACATGGGGATCAAACTATAGAGTTTAACAATTTGGAAAAAATATAAGAAAAAAAAAGAAGTTTCTCACAACTAGTGTCGATAGAATATTTTACAACTGTTATCTTTTCTAACTCAACATAAATATAAGAAACCATGTTTGTTTGTATATGTTTATGTTGTTTTTCACATTTTATGTTGGTAGAAATTGATGCTATAGTCTATATATATAAATATATATTAAAATTTTTGTTAGTATATACATGTTCGGAACGATATGCTAGAATCTGGTTCCATCCTTGCTTGTAATCACCTACATATTGTGACTGAAACCAACACAATTTATAGAATTTTGCTGATAAACTTCATTCTCTGATAACTTCTCAGTTACTTTTTCAGGCTTTTAACTTTTTTCAAAACTGTTGGTGAGTTCATGTTATTCAATCAACAGGGAATTCTAGGAACATACCAAGCAAATGGCCTTGATGACAGTATCAGTGTCATGGCCATGGGAAAGCTGACTCTCCTCCATGGCAGATATCAGGACATCGATGAAATCTTGCTCCCCCTCATCGATGCTTCCAGCAACTCTCTTTCGCCGGTGTTCCTCCACCCAGCTCCCAATCACATCATCCACCTCTCTTGCAGATCTCTTCATTTTGCCCCTATATCCATTCAGCACATCAAACCAACCAAGAAATGGAATTGCATCAGAAATCAGAAGCAAGCCCACTAGACGCATAAAATCTCCCAAAGCCTTCTGGCATCTCCTCGACTCCTCCTTGCTGCTTCTACTGTTGCCAACATACCGGTAATTCTTATTAACAATTCTTAGAATTATTTTCATTACCAAGTCCCCAAACTTCTCCTTCATTTCCACCAACACCGGTTTCCTACTCCCTTTCCCTCCCCCCCACTGCTCATATACCTCTTTCATGAAAAAATTGACCTCTGAGTCCCGGACATGCTTAAGAATCTCAAGTCTATGGCTTGATAGGAGCTCAATCATTGCTAGCTTGCGTAAATCGCGCCAGTATGGTCCATAAGGAGCGAAGCCAAGCACGGCGTGGTCATAGGCCATGAGCTTTAGAGCTAAAGATTTTGGTCGGGTTGAGAAGATTTTATCATTTGTGGTGAAACACTCTTTTGCAACTTCCCAGCTACTAACCACAAGAGCTTGTTTAATGCCTAGACGGATAGAGATGGCCGGTCCATAGTTATCGGCCATGGCGCCCAACGTTCGATGCAGTAGCTTGTTTGCCCCGAGAAGATGGAGGTGACCGATGAGAGGCCACGCTCCGGCTGGCTCTGGAGGTGTTCTGTCTCTCTTCTTGTGGAGCTTGGATTTGGCCATGATCATATTGAGACAAACAACAATGAAAACAAGCCCAAGAACCGTGAGAGCTTGAAGCTGAAGGTAAGACTCCATGCTTCACAGTTCAACAAGAGATCATTCAAAACCTTATTCTTGCACTAGTGTTTTATATGATTTATTGATTGTACCACATCTGTTGTCATTGTCTTGATGTTTATTTACCCGTTTGTGGCGACACAATAATAAGGGTAAATTTTTTCCAAACAACATGATAATATGAACTGTACACAAAGTTAATGGATTAGGATTGGCATAGCCTGTTACCACATGTATTAAGTTAATGTCGAACCTGTGTAATATGAAGTTCATATGAATAGTCCGTTTAACAAAGAATTTATTACCTATTTTAATGTTATTTCTACTGAGGATTGTCATAATAATTTTGAATCTCTTATATAACTACATTTAACTATTTAAAAAAATGTGTGAAATAAGATTTTAATGTTAATAGTGATTTTTCTTTTGTTTTAAATTTAAGATAATGTATTTTTTGTCTACCATTTTATAGGCAATCTAGTCAAAATAATAATAATAATAATAATAATAATAATAGGATATAATTTTTGTTAATTAGGAAAATAGAATTAAGTTAGAATTAAATATTTTATGAATTTTTTCATTTGTTTGAGATTAGTTGCATACAATTTAACTTGTAGAAAAGAAGAAAAAAAATTGGTACAGTTGGTATTTTTTAATCAATGGTGAAACTTTTTAATATGACACGTGAAAATGACACGAATCTGATACAGACCAAAAATATTATGACACAATAACATGGAATAGTAAATGGAGTGAGTTAGTGTTGAATTAAATCTGACACAAATCCAAAATGATATGAAATGAACACAACTCCCTATGACTTGATCTCCACCCTAATCCAATAAGTATGACTTTGTATTTTTATTTGGGTCTATTTTGAAATGGTTTGCTACTTTTAAATCTTATTTATATTGGGTTATATTAAGAATTCAGGATTAAGGTTGATGTTATGAGTTTTAAAAACAAAGTTGAGAGAAAGAGTCGACTCATTTTGATTTTTATTCTTTTTTCATTTGATGTTCATAGATGTAGGTTATTATCAAATACGTAAATCTTTACATATTTATATTTAGGATTATGTTTCTCTTATATTCACATCATAACATGATAGAACTTGTGTTCGTGGAGCCCATCACATATTCCGTTTCGATAATCTAAACTGTTTACTTTTTAAGATTTATTGAGTAGAATATTTATTCAAAAAATAAAAATGATCGGATACGTTTAAATCAATTTAGTATTACAAAAAATGAATAATTATTTTTAAAATTATATTTGTCGTCCATTTTAAAAAATAAATAAATATTATTTACACATATAGTTGCTGATATTCAATCATCTTAATTTTTGTATGAATGTTCTATTAAACGAGTTGAAAAATATAAACAGTTCAAATTATTAAAATTAATTTTAAAATGACCTTACTAATCCCAAACATTTTTTTCAAATTGATGATTCCTTCAATCGAAGCTCAACTCTAATATTTATTCTGTTTTATTTTATTTTATTTGTTTTTAGCAATCTTTGCCTTTTGGCATGACAATGTCTAGCAGCCAGACAACAGAAAGAAAGAAAAAAATAAAAAATTCCCCTCTGGCAGGATAAGTCTTACAATGTATGGTCCTATGGCCCAAAAATAAGTAAAAAACAAGGCTAAGAAGGTGATAGTTTCGAACTCTGCACGTGATTGTGAAGAAAGAGGGGAAAGTGCCAAACATATTGAAAACATCCACTCTGTGCTCTGTTGAATTCTAGTGTTGATTGATTGTTTCTTTCGAGTCCAGATCTTCTCCCTCCGATCAACGGTCAGGATTTAATCACGTCATCCCTAACAAAAGCTACGGCTCACATTGTAGGAACCCACATTTTATGTTCTCATCATGTTCATGAGCATCTGTATGATTATGACTTGTTAAGTTTGCATGTGTATGTTGTGATTTGTTTCGCTTGAGCTAATGTGATCCATGCCTTGTTTTGAAGCCTTGTGATTTGTCTAAGTGTAGTATGCTTGTCTTGTTCCTTCCTTGATGTGAAACTTAGGTCGCGCCTTGCCTGAGTTATGCTAGCCGATGTTATTCCATGCCGAGGTCATCCTTAGTCTAGTAGTGGTATCTTGGAACCCCTTGTTGACCTCCGTTCTCGCCTTGACACATTAGCCGAGATGTTACCTTGCACCCAAGTGATCTCGTCCTGAAGTGGTATGACCTAGGCCGAGGTGTGGCGCATCTAGGCCAAGATGTGGCACAGCTTAGTCAAGTGTTGTCCTTCCTAGCCGAGGTCATTGTCACCTTAGTTGCCGAAGTCCTTTGTTAGCCGATGTCATCCCTTGCCAGAGTGCCATTCCGTATGGCTTGTTAGATACGCCTCGTTGTTAGCCGATGTCATTGCCCCGTCAGAGAGCCCATACCGCTTTGCTTGTTGAACACCCTTCCACCATGCTTTGTCTGGCCTGTCAGCCACCTTTTCAGGGAAAACCCAACCAGTCGCCGCCACGTGTCTCAGCAGAGGGTTAACCCCAGAACCGGGTAAAGAAAACTATCATTTGGTATCATAAACTTGCCTTGTAGAGAGAGAAGCTCTAGGAGGAAGATAGAGTTTTAGAGTGAGGAAGTAGATCTTCAAGCTTGATTCTTAGAGATCGAACCGTTAGATCTGTATTCTAAGGTTAGATTCTTGATCTGCTCATGATGTTCTCTATGTTTACGTTATTGCATTACATGATTGAAAATGATTTGTAAGCCATGCATCGTTTTGAAGCTCGATTTTAGAAAGAGAAAATGACATTCATGTGTTCTTCAAGAAAAAGAACCGGGGTATGAAAAATTGAGATTTTTCTAAAATTTTTCAGATTATAGGCCTGGTTCAAGGATTATAGGCATGATTCAATGTTTTTCAAAGTAAACATCGATTGATTCAAGGATTATAGGCCTGATTCAAAGCTCAAAGCTCAAAGTTCCATCGATTTTTCAGAGTAAACATCAAATTTCATTTGATAGAACCAGAGTAATTCATTTGATAGAACCAGAGTAAAATTTTACTTTTATACAGAGTAAAATTTTACTTTTAGCTTCAGAGTCTTACAGTTTACTTATTTTTCGGAGTAAAATTTTACTTTTATATAAAGTAAAATTTTACTTTTAGTTTCAGAGTGTAAAATTTTACTCTCATTCAAAGTAAAATTTTACTTTCATACAGAGTAAAATTTTACTCTGAAATACATAGTGAAAATGTCTTAATAGGAGAGCTGATAGATATGAGGGTAATATAGTAAAAGAAACAAGTTTTAAAATATCAGAGAGTTTTGAAAATACTTATATAATTCTTGTCCTTTTGAAAGAGAAATTAGATAGTGAGGGGGTTATGACCAAATCCCCCCAAAAAAAAGCAGCAAAACAGCACCAACACAGCAGCACTTTCAGCACAAAATAACAGCAAATCAGCAACATTTTCAGCAGCAACAAATAACATTAATTTCAGCACAAAAAATACCAAAAACCAGCAGCAAAACAACGCTTGATTCGCGGCAGAAATCTTCGGAGTAAGGACGATGTGCTCAAGGAGAAGGAGACAAACAGAGGAAGAGAGGGAGAGATCCTCTGTTTTGCTGTGCTGAATTCAATTCGATTTTTTTTTAAGCTAATCTGAGCCGTAACTTTTGTTAGGAGTGACGTGGCCAAATCTTAACCGTTGACCAGAGGAAGGGTTGGAGAGGATCTGGACTCGTTTATTTCTCCCACTCAGATTAGTTGCTTTTATCATTAGTTGATTGTTTCTTTCTCCCACTTCGATTCAGTTACTATTATCATCACTAAAACAACAATAACGATGGACTTCTTATAATTTATTTTTATTTTTTCTGGTTTGACCACTTATGATTTATTTATTTTAAGAGTTTTTATGAGATTGTTTAGTATAATTTTTATTTAATTTATTAAGTAAAAATAATTTAAATAAATTAAAATTTTAAAACTAGATAAGGGGTGTTTGTAGGGGTGTAATTTGGGCGGGTTTAACTCGAGCAAACCAAATCCGGTCCGAATTTTTTTAGGACTTGGACAAGATATTTTTGAATTCGGTACGGGCTCGGGCAAAAATTTAAAAGATCAAATTAAATTTGGACTGATTTGGGCAAAGACGTCAAACAACCCGAACAACTCAAAACCCGAATTATACATATATGGATATAGAAAAATATTAAATATACATATAAATTATTAGCCATTACATGATATTAAAGTAATTTAAATTTATTAAATTATATTAAATATATATTATATATACAAATAACATAAACTTTCAAATGCCCTTGGGCTCTCTCAAGTTCATTTGGTTGATGCGGTGTGTGGTATATGCAGTGCTTGGTAAAACCTCCAGTCAAAGAAACCACAAGGCCAGTTGATCTGATGCTGCATACCGATGTCAGGGCTGTGGAGCGAGCTGAGTTTGAGCAACAGGTACATTTTTAACTTTTTGTAGACAATTTTTACATGCGATTTCCATTTGAGTTTTCAGTACATATGCTCTGCCATTCTTAAACTAGCTAAAGACCCTTCACAAAAACTGAATAAGTTCAATTTACCCTTGCCTTCTTGTGGGCTCTCCGGGAAGAGAGTTTGATTTGTATTAACATTTTTACCCTTGTCTTCTAATTGTTAACATTTTAAATTTTTTATTTTTATTTTTTATTGCTTTATGTGTTTTATGAGGTTTTGATTGTGTTCTAATTGTTGACATTTTTTTAATGTGGTAATTAAGTTGTATTTTTGGAATGATGAATGAAAGTTCAGTTGTTATTTTAATTCCTTTTAGTTGTTTTTGCTTTTGATTTTTACTTTTAAATTTTAAATTTATAATAAATTATACTAGATAAGAAGGATGAAGAGAACGAGAAAAACTTGCGGATGAGATTACAATAAGAAAAATGCTTGGGAGCACTAATTAGTGCTCCCACTAATTAGGTGGCAGTGGGTCCCGTCATTAATGATGTGATATTTTGGTCTTGAAGTTGTGTATTTTTTTTTTTTAACTTTTTTAATGCATTAGTGCTATTAGTGGTGATGTTTTTAGTGGGATGAATCATTGTTGTTACAATAATTTTTCGTCCACCGCAAGACGAAATTGCTTGAAAACCATACACGTCACGCCGCGTCATCAAGCTCAATCATCATCAAGTTTTAAATATTACAAATCTACCCCTATAAATTGAAAAAATTACAAAAAA